TACCATCTATTGTTGCCTCTGTTTTAAAATCCCAAATCACTCTGTATTTTGTTAAGTTTTGTGTAGACTTTTGTATAGAACCTATCAAGTTATAGTCATCATACTATAGTTGAGCAGCTTTTGATATTACTGTAGTTAAAGGAAAAACTACAGGTTAACAATATTCATATGACAAACAAAGTCACTTTAAGTACTTTTTCTACAAGCATTATAGGTTTAGCCTAAACTGTAAATGAAGTGAAGTCCATTTTAATTACTTTAGATGTAAAAAACCAATTTGAAACAACAAAAAATTCTATTGACTCTCTAAAACATCAGCTCAATACTTATGAACAAAATCAGAATAAATTTATAACCTCTATGCAATGTCTTACTAATGAATATAGAATTAAAATACAATGTATCGAAGATACTTTAATTACTACAACAACTATATTAGAGAATTTTTTAGCATCAACATTAGTATTTCAAACTACTATAAATAGCATATTATCACATATTCAGAATTATAATGACAATAATAATGTTTTAAATGCAATATATAATTCTCCATGTGTATTACTACAGCAAATTCTATATTCACTCCAAAAATTCATGACAGGATGCAGTTTTTTAATGGATTTGAGGATCTTGAAGATTCTGAATCCTAAATACTTAACTATAGATATATTTACAACTTTGACCTTGGTTCTAAAAATCGAAAAAACAAAAAAATTACCCAAAATTATATCGATCTTTTTATTAGAGAATTTGATGCCCAGTTTGAAGAAATACATATTTATTTTTTTTAACTATTATTTAAAAAATTATATCAATCCTTAATATTTTTAAATATTTTGTAAAAACAAATAAAAAGTAGAATGAAATTACAATTACTAAATTGCTAAGACTTATTTTAAAACCTTAAAAAAGGAATAAAATACTTCTGCTGCAAAGCTTTTGAATAATCAGCATGCTCGACATCATAAACAACATGATACTGTAATATATTCAATATAATTATAACACAGTACTTATAGTTATTATTAAATTTTTTTTTTTTTAGAAATCATCTAATCACTTAGTCACATTAAGCAAGATTTCTGAAAATCAACTAAATCATCCTAAAAGTAAGGTTGAGAAGCTATTTTTCCTTGAAGCAACATCTTCAGAAGTAGATGATATTGATGAATCAGCAATAGCTATTCTGTATAGAGAGGAACATATTTTTGAATTATCTAGAAAGAAATTACTGATACTTGCTATTAATTTGTAGTTTTTCTTTTAACTACAGTAATATCAGAAGCTGCTCAACTATAATATGATGACTATAACTTGACAGATTCTATATAAAAGTCTAAATAAGACTTAACAAAATACAGAATGATTCGGGATTTTAAGGCAGAGGTAATAATAGATAGTATATGAAGATACTAAATATTGTATTCAGTTTATTTACTATTTGAAATGTATGAAAACACTTAACTATTGAAATATATGAAGACATTTATATGAAGTATAGAGACACTTAACTTTCTTGAAGAGTCAGAAAGTAATGCTTTTATAGATATTTTACATGTATAAATTATTACAATAAAGATAAGTTATTCCTATTGAATATGCTAAATATAGT